CGTTATGGATTTCACACGAGATATAAAAATTTAAATTTAGCGACTTGATGTGATGAAGAACGATCATATTTTTCATTTTAACGAGGAGAAAAAAAAAGTTTTAACTTTCAGTCACAACTTTTCTTTGTATGGGTGAACCATGGCCTCAACCTGAAACGACGCACCATAGCCAAGCTCTTGACTTTCCCCCTCCGTTTTCCTTTAACGAACCTATTCGTTTTTTCTCTTCCTTCCTTCCTTCGACATTTACTTTTCAAATGCATCCGTTTCATGGACTCTATACTCTTTCCCTCTCCATCCAAAGATGCCGATGACGTTTTTACCCTCTTCGATTACTCCAGCAACCATCCTTGTCCAATTCCACTGAACCCCTCTTCTTAGTCTCCTTCAGGTAAACTTTTAACTTTTTTACCCTAAAAATTAATTAGGGGTATTTGTTGATTTTTTTTTTATTTTGATTTGTGTAGGTGGTGGAAGGAGGCTAGAGAGGCTGTGTGCAGTGGCGGCGGCGGCGTTTTGTATAATGTGACGACACAATTGACTGTTGCTGGCGAGGATGAGGAAAAGGAGGTGGGCATGGCGGTGGGGAGTAGGGATTTGGAGATTCTAGTGATTATGAAGAGAGAAGGGGAAGCGAAGATTAGTGAAGAAGAAAGGGTTTCAAGCGAGGGGGATTTTGCCTTGGTTTCGGAGTGGATGTTTTTGACAGCTCTTAAATGGTGAGCGTCAGTTATCATTCAAATTAGATTTTTATTTTTTCGAATCATTTTCTGAGTGTGCTTGTGTTACTTTAGTATTTGCAAAAAACACAAAAACAAAAAGCAAAATTAAAAATAAAAAAATGATTAGTTGATGAAGTTATAATCTGTATATCTGACCAGCACCTGTTGTTATACATAGTTTTTTAGGGTTGCATTGAACTTCTCTTGTATGCAATTGATGGAAGAGTAGAAATGACCCAAGCTTGGTTCCATTGTTAAATGTTAAATCTGAAGTTGTCTTCTATTGAGTTTATCTGTTAAGCTCTTGATGATTAAGTGCTTGTCAATTGTCAAGTTGTCTGTGGCTCTAAAAATAAGAACCAATTTTGAGCAATTCATACACATGCTTGAACAATCAAAACTCCACTTCACAATTTGGGATAGGATTATCAACAATCTTATTGCTATAGACGTTAGGAAACTGAGGAAACAAAAAAGGGAAAAGAAAGAAAAAGAAAAAGAAAAATTGAATGAATACTATGAAGAAGCTCCTTTCTAGCATGAGTATTGAAATTTCGTTGTTGACTGTAGGATAAGCAAGAAGTTATTAGGGAGGATATGCTTGTTTTATTTTTTGTTTCTATTTTACTAAGATACTTCTGCTAAACTTGTGAATTTAATTTTGTTTTCATAAATAAAATCATTGGTCGGCACTGAATCTGCTGGAAATGAAGTTTAAACTGAAAGTATTACTTTCATAGCTATGATTTTCTTCAAAATTGACTCTATTTCTGTAGGTATTGTTGCCTACGCAGTCATGCCTCACCTGCCATTTTTTAAATCTAATCCTGTATGTATTATTCCCTATGCAGACTTGCTTCACCTGCCATATTTGAACTATATTACATGAATCTGAAATATGAAGATTGCTGGCCATAGTTCCATTCCACCTTTGGTTATGTTCCTTATAAAGTCGGTGCCATTTCCTGAGTCAGTCATTAGACAACTGAACATGGTTCCTTTGCAATTGTCGATGCTGCATTTGAGGAGCCCATGACCTGATAGTTGATTTACTTTGCTCTTCCTTGTAGGCATAATGACTTGACGGGTGTGGAAACTATTTTACCTGATGAAGATAGCACACACGACCTGTTCTCTTTACAGATCAGACTTTTGTGTGTGTTGGAAACAAATTCATTGGTTATAAAGATTAGCCAAAAGGTTCATTACGAATTGAGCCCCTTTTCATAAACTATTCTAAATATTAGTTATGGTGTGGATCTTGTTTATTCGTTGATTGTGGATGCTGTTACCAAGAGTTGGTAAAACTAACTCTTTTGTAAAGCAACCAATGCTTGAATTAAATTTTGTAAGCTAATGATTTTTGAAATTCTGAATTTCAAACTACAATATTTACAAAATTCAGACATCAGATTTCTAGTAAGATAGCCCAATAGGGAAGTGAAGTTGCTAAATTTTGAATACATGCACAAATTCTATTAATATCCACTGATTTCCATTCTGTTAATGGAAGTAGATATATGGCTTGAAGAGTAGAACTTGTATGCTAATCTTTGGTTGTAGCTGCGGTAAAAGGTGAAAAGTTGGTAGGGGTTGGGCCCTGAACCTTCTTAATTATAATAAAGATTGACTTAATTAGTTGGAGGGGCGTCTGTGATAGTTTTATTGTAGCTCAGTCATCAGGCAAGGATACAACAGCTCCCTTTTGGTCACTGAAAAGGCAAATACAGCCCCTGTTTGTTTCCCTTTTTTTCCTCCATTAAAATGAAAAATATGACCGTTATCCATGACATCAAGCCATCAAATTTGAATTTCTATCTCTTATTGGGGTCCATAATAGCTATATTTTTCATTCTCATTCTTACAAACCAGTCGATGCCACGTGCGTTGCACGATTATTGCATTTAATATGTCTTTATTAGCGCGATGTAGAGATTTTAGTTTTCTTGTCATAATCCTAACATGCTTTTGAAGTTTGAATTAAATTTTTGGCATGAATTTTCTCTGGCAATTAGTAAAAATTAAATTTAAAATTGTGGGAATATAAGTAAAAGATAATTTATAATTTTATGGGAGCTCGCATGTGGTCTTGCGGATTCCACACCAATTCCATGCAGAGTCCCCGGACAGACTGTGTGGGGACACCACACTAATTCCATGAGGAGTCCCCGCGCAATTCATGCGGAGTCTATACGGGGACTCCTTATCTTTTAATTTTTTTTTAAATGAAAGAAAAATTTATTGGAATAAAAGTTTGAAAAGGGGAGAAAAATACCATATTAGCTCAAGGTAAAACAATGACTTTCAATGCTCACACGTGCAAGAAAAGAATAAATTAACCACTACATGTTAGATCACAGATCAATTAACAAAATTTACAGATTTGGTCAACTCAGGCTATGAAAAATCGTGTTAGAACACATTAGAGAAATTTTTAACAGAAAATAAGAGAAAAAATACATAAGGCATTTAAAATAGATACTATATGCAGACTACTGAAGGCAGATTTTTTCCCTAGTTGACTCTAAAAAAAATATTAAAATTCAAGACTTCTTTTCTGCAACACATATCAAAAGTCTATTCATGACATCATCGGAACAATCATCAACAAACAAAACTCATACACCCAAAATTAATGAAATGACGAAAACTTAAACATGTAACACAAATTTAGAAATTAAGATAAGATAAGCCCATACCTTTAAAATTATTTAGTGTTAAAACTCAAAAAGTCCCCACACATTCCGTGCGAGACTGCGCACCAAGATTGCTACAAGAAGTCATACTTCACGATTTCTGTCAAGATTGTTAATGCGTGATGTTGCAGAAGCTCTCTTGAAAGATCTTCAAATTCGTGATTTTCAGGCTTAGTCCAACGCACCAGTCCAATCGGCTCCAAACCACAACCAATTGATTCACCGTGGTTGCTATTCAATCTTACCCACGTAGGACAAAAAATGATGATGATTTGTGGCCACAAAGACTAGAAAAAAACACCACAAAGGTATACTATGAAGGAACCACCAATTGCACACATTATACAAGCGTTCTGGACACTTCTGGAGACCTTTTTTCACACACAAAGGGAACAGCCGGGATTCTCTTGTTTCTTCTCTCAGAATCACACAATCATCATTACAAAGTAGCTAGGGTTATAACCAAATATATACTCTAGGGTTAGACTTTAAGTTGGGCCATTAAAGGGGTAAAGTGCCAAGATTTAAGCCATCCATAAGGAAATACAATTGGGCCGGGTGTAGCTCATAGACTTGATTGTTGGACTTATTTCATTCATCAGCCTATGCCTATGAAATAATATTAACCCACGTTAACATCATAGCCCGGGATGTATTGGGTATCAAAATCCCAACAAATCTCCACCTTGATGCTCAATAAATCTGCAAGCAATCAAAACACACAGTTAGCAGTTGCATAATCAAGGTAACCAATGAAATTGGATCACAGACCTTACCTCGTGTTTTCAATTTGAAACACATACCATACATGCTCCATGTACTCACAGGGGCTAAGGTCAAAAAATACCCAAGTAGAAGCAAATATTTAACAATAAACAATCAAGAGCAAATATACGTGCGATGACGATATACTATAGGATAACACACACAGATCTTTTCAAAAATACGTTCACATAGAACCATAGATTAACACCAAGTCAATCAAATCACAGTCAACCACATATGCAACACATGTCTAAATGACCTAAGAAAAGATCTCATCACACTTATCCTATCACATTCCGTGTTGCTCACATCTCGAGAAAACATATCTCCTCTCATCACCCACCAAGCTCACTAGACTGATCACCCAACTCATGTCTAACTGGTAAGTCAAATAGATCCGAAGTTCACGGGATAATCCTCTATCTCCACATCGCTTCTCCCAACCTACATGGATAATGGGTCTTCACCTAACAAAAGTGATAGAAGTGCCTCTCTCACACTCCACCTGATCAGGGTCTCTTTCCAAATAAAGTATTCTAGATATTTGATCACATCTCCACTCGTGATCCAAACGTCACACTCCACATCCCCGGTACAAACCACTATGTACCTCTAGACATCTATACTCTACCTCACCAAAAGACACACAACACACTGTTAATGCATCCTAACCCATTATGCATGCAAACAATTACACCAAGTAATCCTAATGTTTCAAATCCATGCAAATGCACATATCAAACACATTGAGATGTAGCAGATAATCATGCAACAAAATTTAGACAATCACACACATGCAGAAAAGGATCACACTTAATAAACCTCACTGGGGTCATAACTTGACCCCTCAACCAAATTCGTCTCACCTCTTATCTTACCCTTCAGCTTATCTTTCTTCTCGGGACAGTCCCTAATAAAGTGTCCAGACTTATCATAACTGTAACACCTTCTACTACTAGACTTGTCTCGTCCCTTGCCCTTCTTCTTACTCCCCTCATCACTCGAGTCACTACTCGAATCACTACCGTCTTGAGTTCTACCCAACTTCATTTGCTTAAACTTCATCCTACTCCTCATCATATTTTGCTCGCCACTCCTCTTATCCTCTTTTTCAACCTTAATCTCCATCTCCTTACTTCTAAGTAAATCTATGACAATCTCGGGTGTTAAGGTGTTCCTACCGTACTTAATTACATTCTTAACTTCCCTATATGAATCAGGCATGGAATTAAGTAGGATAATAGCTTTATATGTTTCAGATACGTCTTCATCACAATTAATGATGTCTTGAACTAACTTGTTAAAGGCATCCAGATTGTCATCAAGATCCTTTGAAGGATTCATTTTAAAGTTGAAAAATCGTTCAAGTAAGTACAATTTATTAGGAGTTGACTTAAGAAATATAAGTCCTCCAACTTTTCTCAAAGTTATTTTTGTAGAATCCAGTTTTCTAATTTTCTCAAAATAGTATCAGACAGGTGTAAAATAATTGAAGTGTATGCAAGTTCATCATACTCATCTTTTTGTACTTCTTTTAAATTTGCAGAAAATTTGCTATCTATGGTCTTTGAAACTTTTTGTTGGACCAAAATACCCTTCATCTTTTGTTGCCAAATTGAAAAATCACCTTTCCCATTAAAAATCCCTACTTCAAAGTGTGAAGATATTTTTAAGGAGAAAATAAAAACCAGAACAATCAAGTCACAAATAGGTCACACAAAGTAATCCTAAGGTCGCAATATACACTGTTCTAGATTCCTAAGGTTTCGTAAGATTCACGATCTTGGATCAAGGAAATGTTCGAACGGGTCAAGTCTAGGTGTTCTAATTGGATAATGCAAACAAGAAGGTATATAAACAAAAATTTCAAATTTTCACGCAA